AAAAGAAAGCCGGCCGGCCGGGTCTGTTTAAAAGTTTCATGTTATGAAAACCAATATATTAAATTTGTGTGGCCTTACTGAATTATTATGCATTTAGAAATTAAATTTTAAAGATAGTACAAAATAGCATGATGATATAAAAAATTTTTAATGAAACTCTTTAGTTGAAAAACGGATTATAAGTAAAAACGAAAGCGGGTACTTATGTACGTAAGGTATACAGCGACCTTTACTCGATTAATGCTATTATTACGTTATCGAAATAATTTTATGATAATTCTGTAATTTGATGATGCTTTGTAATTAAGTAAATATTAGAATAATAAAATTTTTTTTATTTTTTTATTTCATTAGCATGTAACATGATAATAATAAATTTTTTTCATAAACATGATCATTTTTATTTGGATAATGAAATAAAAAAATATTATTATTCTAACATTTAATCCTGTAATTATAAAGCGTCATCAAATGATCATAATAATTCTCTTGATAACATGATAGCATTAATCGGAGTACAGCGGAATGAGGTCATTGTATTAATTGTACATAAGTACATACGTACGTATGTACATACGTACGTATGTGCGTACGTAATCTTACCATATTACTTTTATCAGGCTAATTTGTTCAATTTTGCAGGAGAATCATAAAATTGATTAATAACGTAAAACCAGTCAATCTTGCATGTTGTTTATGCATGCAAAATATCTTAAAAAACATATTTTGCATAAATAATTATGCAAAAGAATTTGTAGACCGGGGTAAAATCGCCACCCAAAAAAGTTTCGAAAATCATGTATTATTGTCAATTGATCATGATTAAGATAATATTTAGTATTAATAAATATTAAGTGATTTAATGAGCGATGATTTTTTCTTCGATTCTTCAAAATGAAAAGTGATCATTACAATCTCGACAAACCAAGTGATTCTTTAAAAGTATAAAATCCAATAAAAACAATATTTTAAAAATATACTTGCCGTAACCAAATTTTCCGAATAATAATCGAAAAAAGAATGAAAGTCGAAATAAATTATAAGATATAGTTGAGAAAATGCAATTACACCAGAAAACCTTGTGGATTTTATTTTTAATGTTCCTTCCGGAAGACTATAACTTTGATTATTTATTTGAGCAAAAAATTTTTATAAATCTGAATCCGAGACGCAACAAAAAAAATTATTGAAGAAAACATAATCTAAATAGTAACAAATGGCTCGATAATATCAATAAAAACTTTGAGCCATTGCATAAATTGGAAGAGGATTATAATCATTTTAAAAGGTACATGGATTTTTGGTGCTCGATATACTTTTCACATATCGTTCGAAACTTTTTTGGGTGGCGATTTTACCCCGGTCTACAAAGTTTACACCGATTGCCAAGAGGACAAAATATATTCCATTATCTGCATCTCCACATAATCAATAAACTAGGTTAGTAAAGGTGTGAATGTGGCATGTATAAATTGATATGTAGATAAATCAGGTAGTGTCATTAAAATATTTATATAATCTAATATATTAAAATCCATTGTCCGTTGTAGCCAAATATTTACAAGTAACTTGTATCACAAATTCAACAACGATAGTATGAATATTTTATGTTTCATAATGAAAATATTATTGATTTTATTTTATTTATCGCTAGGATCGGGTTAGTATTTGAATAAGTGATCTTTAATGTATAGTACAGTGAAACAGCGTCGGATATATGTAGATTAGGATTTTATAAGCGAATTACAATTTAGTTATGAAAAGAATTTTAATTATCACTAAAATTATTTTATCGTTTGTTCAAACTATTTAGGACTACAGTATTAAAAAGTGATTCATTCATATATTGATCAATTCATGTAGATTGGAACTTGAATTACATCAATCAAATCAATCAAAAATTTGATAAGTAAGCGAAAGAATCAACACAATGAGAAAAAAAAAATATTGTAGGTACATAATTTACGAAAATGTGCAAAAGATCATATAATGGACGTTTTTCTAAGCATCATTGCACAATAAATATCTTTGAAGTGTTATGTCAAGTTTTCAAATGTTACCATATAATCCAATTTCGAAATCTTGAAACGTCATACATGTTTCGAAAATTTCGTGTAACCATTAATCGTTGAAAAACAAACCCTTTATTAAAGAAACCTACAAAGAGATCAAACAATGACACTGGTGAACAAGACAATAAACTAAATATTTACAGTACATCGATCATTGCCACATGGTTATATGCTTGCACTTGTATCGGTGATACAAAGCAATAGCCAATCCGAAAATGTATTTGATCATTCCGGTAAACATAGATCTGCCACCTTATCTAACTCTAGCTAATCCTAGTTTAGAAAATTAATAATCAAGTTATAACGATAATTTTAAGGATTTAGTGACACTACACTTAAGACTTTCCCCCAAAACTATGAAACAATTGCATTTTTTTTTTTTAAGAATGAATGAATATTTGTTAATCAACAAAATTATGTCTATTTTAAACATTTTTGGATTAAATGACGTATATTGATTCTGAAATGAATGGAATTGAAAAACACTCGTAACATAACCATTTTCTATTTAACTGCCCTGCAGAAATTAACTTCTTGATCAAAAAAATGGCGGCAAATACCTTTCAAAAACTTTCAAATGATTACCTTGAACTTCTTAATGATAAAGATGGTTTTGATGTAATCATTAAAGTTGGCGATTCTACAAACTCAAAATCATTTCAAGCACATTCGAACATTTTAAGATGTCGTTCTCGCTATTTTAATAGCATTTTATCAAAAAATAATAAGGACGAAAAAATTATTAGAATGAAGGAAATTTCTGTTCAACAATTCGAAATTATCATTAAGTAAGAAATATGTTATTATGTTTGTTGTATCTGAATTACATATTTTGTATTTATAAATTAATAATTAATTTAATAAAATTTAATAAATTTAAAGGTATATTTATGGGGGTGTGATTTCGCTAGAAGATCTTGACGCTTCATTTATTTTTGATCTTATATTTATTTGTTATATGCTCGTTCTTAAAGAATTAGCTAAATATCTTGAAAAACATTTAATAGAAACCGAGAATAACTGGCTTCGTTTAAATTTTGCAAAGGTTTTTCAGAAAAGTTTTCAAAATAATAAACTTCAAGAATTGCGAAATTGGTGCAATAATATTGTGGAGAAGTGTCCATGCGAAATTAACTCTAAAGATTTCACTTCTCTTCAGGAAAACGCATTGATTTGTTTAATTAAGCGAGATAATTCACAGATGGAGGCAATAAAAATTTGGAATAATATCATTAAATGGGGAATTGCTCAAAATCCAGATTTGCCATCAAATCTTAAAGATTGGTCTCAGGAAAATTTTCTAACCTTAAAAACATCTTTGAAAAAGTGTTTACCTCATATTCGTTATTCTCAAATATCAGATAATGACTTTGCCACCTATATACAACCATATCAACAAATCTTTGAAGAAAATCATTGGAATGATATTCAAGAAAGGATTATAGATCCAAGTCGACCTGTATCGTCAAAAATCCTTCCTCCTCATGCGAGTTTGAAACAATTTAGAATTCCTCCTATTCCCCTTCCTCCTCATGCGAGTTTGAAACAATTTAGAATTCCTCCTACTCCCTTTCCTCTTCCGAGATTTTCAACTATTATTAATCGTGAGCATGCGGCCGAAATTGTTTCATGGATTGACTGCAGCAACTATTCTTCAAAAGATTATCCTTATAAATTTAATTTACTTATTCGTGGAAGTAAAGATGGATTTACGGTTGATTCATTCTGGAATTTATGTGGTAACCAGGAAAATACTGTTGTAATTATGAAAGTTAATGGTTCGAATGAAATTCTTGGTGGATATAATCCTATTAGATGGAATAGACCACAAGGATCATATAAACATAAGAAATATTGCAAAAAGTGCTTTATTTTTTCATTGAAAAATGATAATACTCAAAAATCTAATTTTAAAAATTTGAAATCTCCAACATTGATAATTAGTAAATCCAGTCATGGCCCATATATTGAAGGTGGTTTTATTATGGGAAATCGGGTAAAATATGGTAATAAACCATTGCATTATAATCAGACTTATGGATGTTATTGGTATGATAACTCTATTGCTAAACTTAGTCCAATTAAAAACGCATCTACATCTCAAGATTTTCTACATGACGATTACGACGGTTCTCCATTTTCAGTAGATGAATATGAAGTATTTCAAATTATTAAGAAATAGTGTTAATTTAGTCACAATTGTATTATAGTCATTATCACAATTTTTATTGATTACTCATATAAACTCATTATCATGTAAAACTGTTATCTATTTATTCTATTTATTAAAGTATTAAAACCTTTTTAAGTTTCTAATTAATGTCATAAAAAAACGATTGGATATCGGTTAATATAATTTAACTTTAAGATTTAATCAAGTTGTAAATTCTAATAACTTGATTATTTAAATTTTTTCATAATGTACGTATGTACGTACTTTCGTTAATACCGATCAATTGTAGAACAAAGTATCGTATTATTAATTGACAAACTGAAGTCTAACCTTAATATAATTATTGGACTGGTAAAATTAATTTTAATGAAAAATATTTTTGATTTTTTTTTTATACTAGAAATTGTCAACAAAGATGTGGTTAAATGCACCAGAATATATTTCTTTAATAAATGAATTATTCGCTTTGATAATTTTGGTGCTTTAGAGATGGGAAAATTGATATCCTAAATAGATTTATAGTAGAAAGTTTAGATCAAAATTGCCAGTTATATCTAACCACAAAGGTTGGATTTAAAAATAATTGATTCGTTATCTAACTAAATATTTAACCCTAAGCCATAAGCAACATCATTTCTATCCATGCCCACCAATACTCCCCATCTTATCCTGTCATGGATTTAAAATTTTAACGACAAAAAAAATCTGAAACAAAAAAAAAAGTTTCGACAAAAGCGAAAATTAAGACTAGCAAACCCATTAAAATGTAAAGACAATGCATTTTTTCTACCAAACATAAAATGCGAATACACAATTGTAATTTCAAGCAGGAAGCTACTAGTTAGAAGCTAGAAATTAGCAAATTATTAACTATGCATAGTAAAGGCTGCTTCACCACATAAACACCCAGTGTTGCAAATAGTCATATATCTAATGGAATTAAAGACGTTGTAGGCTAATAAAAAAAAAGGGAAATGTGTAATATAAATATGTGTATAAAATAAAAAGCGTACAGTATAAATATATGGGTAATTATTTTTGAACCCGGTCCAATTTTATATGTATCGATATGACATCACTAACCTACTATAATTTGACTTCTGATCTCATTTTATTTGACACATCTACGCAATGTAAAAAGTTGAATTTCTTTATATTGCCTTTTTTTTAAATAGCTCACTCTATAATAGACTTTTTTTTTAACAAATTTATTATAGAATCGGTATAAGAACATAGTAAATTACTTCTACAATGAACTTTTAAAAATTTTTGCA